TGCACCTTTTTTTTTTTTTTACTTAAAATCAAAGTTTATTTTTAATGTTTAAACATCTTTTATTTGAGTGTTTAAGATTAAATAAAATTTTAATTAAAAACTAAATTTTCTGGCCTGATAACTCATAAGCGTTTAGTTTTCTAAGCAATCTTAAATTTGAAATTAAAAAAATTTTAGGCAATTTTTACAATAATAATAATAATAATTAAAATGCTTTAAAAATTAAATTTTGGTAAAATAAATGCCATGCTTTACATAAAAAAAAAAAATTATTAAGCGCGGCATATTATTTACAATAAATTTTAAATAAATATTAACTTATAATAAATTAAACTGTATAATATTGTCAATTAAAATTGGTAAATCAAAATCGAAATCGATGTTGTGAATATTTATAATTTTTTTTTTTTTTTTTTTAAATTATTATATTTTTCACAATTTTTATATATATATTACGTTTAAAAAAAAATAGTTTATTTAAATTGTGAAGTAATAGCTCAAAAAATCTCTTATGAATTATAATAACAGTACATAAATTTTAACACACAAAAATAATTTTTATTTAAAACCTATTCAGAAATACTACTTATTTATTTATTTATTTATTTATTTTTATAATTTGAATACTAATTATTTAAAAAACTTTTAATGTGTGTTATGAAAGACGGTTTGATATCTGTAAACAAATTTGTAATAAATATTTACAATCCTTTGAGCGATTATTTGCCATAACATAATTTAGGTGTCACATTTTAAAAAATTTCTATGAAATTAAATTTAATAACACTTAGTCACAATTTGTAAAAAAAAATTTTAAATATTGCATACAATTATAATAATATTATCGGATTAATTTTTAAAAAAAATGTTAAAATATTTCACTTGTAAATGTCATCATCGTTATTTAATATTAAAAAAATATGGCGCTCTATCAAATCTTCCATTATTATTATTATTATAAATTATTAGTGTGTTTTGTTCACAATCGTGCCTGAATAATTAATAACAAGATGGAACTAATATAATTTTTTTTTGTAATTAATAATAAGGTGCCATTACAAAAAAACAACATTCAGGCCACATGCTAATTTATGTCATATCACTAACAATATTTTGACAATGTATAAAAATTTATTTTATTTTATTTATTAAAAAGACTAAATATTATTCAGTATTGCATGTTACAAAAAAAAAAAAAAAAAAAAATTCAAGTATTTCATTTTGTTTTTGTTGTTTTTTTTTTTCTTTTTCTGAATATTACATTTATGTATATTACTAAATGAAAATAAAAACAAACATTTATTTGGTTGCAGTTAACATTAAATAATAATAATAATAATGTAAATTAAAAATTATAATCAAAAATTAACAAAAGTGTTAAGTTATATTTTTAAAAAATAAAATTAATGATAAAAAGCGATTAAAATAAAAAGACTGAACTCACAAGTTACGAATGCAAAAAAAAAAAAAAAAAAAGTTTTCATTATTATTATTATTATTATTATTTGAATATTAAAATAATATGTTACTCATAATTTTTTTTGTGTATATTTCATTTTAAATTTATTATAAATATAATAAAATTTAATGAAATAAATTAACATTTTATAATTAATTTTTTTTTTTTTCACTCTGATTTTATAACTTCATGTAAAATATTATTATTATTATTTTTTTTTTTTAAATATTACATAAATGTTTATTTAAGTTATAATTATTATTATTATTTTTGTTATATTATTTAAACGGGGGTCAGTTATTATTATAAATAAATGAAAGTGTATCATAAAACTTAAAATATGTTTATAAGGAAAAATAAAAAAATTTTTCCAACAAATTTTTTTTAAGAATTATTTTTAAAATTTAATCCTTCCATTTTTTTGTAATTTATTTTACCTTTACTTTTCTTTTTTAAAAAAAATAAAACTTCTAATAATACCGTAACCCATCAAAATTTGAAATTAAATAGATCAATAATAATAATGATAGTAAGTATAATAATAATAATAATATTTTTAAAAAGTTTTTAAGAGAAAATTATTTATGTAATAACTTTCGAATATTAGTAACGGATAAAATCAAATAATGAATAAGAAAAATACGTACGTGCGCAGTAAATTATTTCTATAAAAAACATTTTAAATTATTCAATTAATTGTAATTATGTAAAATTATAATTTCTGAACATTAGTTAATAAATAATTAGTTACAGGCATGAAAAGTTTTTAACGGTTATTATATTACTTAAAAATTCAAAATGTATTTTAGTGCTTTACTCTGTGGTTTTTTTTTTTTTTTTAATTGCTCCTTTTTAGGTTAGAAATAAAAATTAATATTATTTAGATAGATAGCAATGACCAAATTTTTTCTATCATTAAAAATGAATTATAAATTGTTTAAGTCTTATTTTTCTGAGACTTAAGTAATTAAAATAGTACGTAAATGAGTTCATCGAAATTAAAAAATTATACATTTTTATTTTGTCTAACTAGACCTATTGTAAATTATTACAATTTGTATATGAATTGCTAATGGATAAAATTTTTTAATTGAGTATTTAGTGTAATGCTTTACATTCGTAAGGTTTTCGTTAAATTTTCATTACATTGAAACACTATCAATTATTATTTAATAAATATAAATTTTAGTTTTGACAATTTTGTATTCGAAAATTTAAATAATACCGGCAGCATTTGAAATCTTGGATAATTTTATACATATATTTATTCCGCAGTATTACAATTAAAATCAAATTTGTTTTATAATTTTAATTAACAAAAAATTATGCACAGTATTTTAATTAAATAAACGTTATTTTTATACATTACATTAAAATAAAATCTGAAATTTTACATACTTATTATTAAACAAACGTTACAAGAAAAATTTCCGCCATTACTCATTGTTAATTGTACTTAATTTTTGGCGCCAATCATGTTAATTCAACGGATAAAAACAAAGTCAAGTGGTTTAGGAGTTGTTATTCACAAAATAGTAAGTAGTTTTTTATATTAATGGTATTTTGTGAGATTTTTTTTTAAGGTTAAACTTCTTTATGAAATTAAAAGGTTTTTTTATTTTCTATAAAATTCAATAAAAATTTATTACCTGAAAGTAACTTATAATTTGAATTGTAGGCAATAGCATTTAAGTCATGATTGGTTTTAAAAGTTTTAACTTGTTTCATTGTGATTTCTTTGCCTTTTTATAATATCTTTTGCAATGAATTATCTGTCACACAGTATTTATCTAAGTAAACAATTTATGATTTTCATTTTATTTTTGAAATTTAATTGTATAAATTTTTTTTCTTTAAGATGTCTGTTACCAATTACAGTCAAAATGCACTTTCTCAAAATTTATGGGATTCAGATCCAGAGTTATATAACATTATTAAAAAAGAAAAATTAAGGCAAAAACAGGGATTGGAAATGATAGCTTCAGAAAATTTTACATCAGTTCCTGTTTTGCAATGCTTAAGTTCATGTCTCCACAATAAGTATTCTGAGGGACTTCCTGGACAAAGATATTATGGAGGAAATAAATATATTGATGAGGTAGAAATATTATGTCAAAAAAGAGCTTTAGAGCTTTTCGACTTGGACTCAGAAAAGTGGGGTGTAAATGTCCAACC